GACACCTGACCCAATAGTAATAAATTCCATCCAGGCACCAAAATGCCCAATTTAAAGCAATAGCCTGTAAAGAGACATGTGAAGGAAACAAAGCCTCTGATGATCACCTTTCTTAAATACCAATTAATCCAACCTTGTCAATGCTTATATAACACTCCAGTCCTGTTGGTACAAAAATCTGGGACCTGGGATTATCATTTTCTACAGAATTTGAGAATCATTAACCAAATTGAGGATGATTTCCCACAAGTTTGAAGAATGTACAAAGAGAAATGGGGGGATTGAAACATAAAGCATTGACCCGTTTAAACTGGTTTTGCCTCCTTAAAACAGGTTATTGATTAATCAAACCTTGAGTTTTTTTTCTTTTTTGAGTTATTTTTAGAGGCAGCACTATGCAAATGCAAAGAAAGAGCCCCCGTTTCCAGGATGACCCCCAAACCAAGAGGGTTCAGTCTGTGGAACTCTCAAGAGTTCCATGGAAGAACTGTATGGAGTCCTTCAATATGGAAAATCTGGCTTCTAGCAGCATGAATAGCTTACATGAACTAATTCAAGACTAGCCAATTAGCTTCCAAGTTTGCAGTTCCCCTAAACCCTTTAATTTTACCCCAAACTCTGGGTTGAGGAGACAGATTTGAGAGCCCTACCTCGTGTCTTCTTGCCACTTCACCTTGGAATAAAGTTTTTCTCTCAAAAGCCCATTCTATAGTCTTGGCTTCCATATGCATCAGGCAGCAAGCCCTTGCTGGGGAACACTCGTGACTGATAGGCCTGGAATTAGGCTCCTCTCTGAATTCCTCTAGATCCTATGCTGTTGTACTCCTCTTGTCCTAAAGCAGAACTTGTGTTCCTTACCACTCAAATGTGTCTTGGGATAAAAGTAAGGACTCTGGATATATTCCAATACACTTCTTCAGGCATAAAGCCTTGAAGTTTACCTCAGGAAATAACAGCAATGAGGAGGAGAAATAGATGATAGTGACAATAAATCATCTCTCTATGCAGTGTCAGAGGACAAATAGCAGAAAACCATCTTGGACTGCTCCTTTCCTTTAGAAACGTGTGCATGTCTCAGATATGGTGGGTTGGGTTCCAGATCACTGCAATAAAGTGAATATTGCCATAAAGTAAATCACAGGAATTTGGGGGATTCTCAGTGCTTATAAAAGTTGTTAATACTATTGTACACTTACTAGAAGATGTCTAAAAAAATGTAATAGCTTAATTCAAAATTAGAATACAGCTACAATAGTAACAGAGACCTGATCAGATCACCATAAGGAATAAAATATGGGAATAGTTTAAAATATTTCACAAATTTACAAAATGTGGCACAGGGACCCCAAGTGAACACATGGTTTTTGGGAAATGGTGCTATAGTCATATTCAATGCATGGTTACTGTAAACTTTCAGTTTGTAATGAAACACAATATATGTGAAGCATGGTTAAGTGAAGTACAATTTTTTAGAGGTATGCCTATAACTAATTAAAACAATTCACATAAGAGACTGACTCTGGCTAAGGTTTTTTTTTTTTCCTTTAAAATTAATTTAATTGGAGATTAATTACAATACTGTGGTGGTTTTTGCCATACATTGACATGAATCAGCCATGGGTGTACATGTGTCCCCCCATCCTAAATCCTCTCCCCCTCCAGAAACAGAGAGATCAACATTTTTCTCTGGGAGTGTACCCCATCCTGCCCCCTGCCTTCTGTGGCATTTTCCCCATCTCACGTCAAGTCTGGGACATGAAACTGTAAGGTTTACTTTAGGAAGACTTCTAAAGATTTTTCAGGGATGTGGTGTAGTCCAGGAACCTATTAATCCAAGAGATAGACAAAATGAGGGCCCACATGAGTGAGGACTGGAGGGACAATCACCCTAAAATATAGGTTATTCAGAGACCTGCACAAACTTGCTCTCAAACCTAGAAACACAAACAGGGCATTCCCTACTACAAGCCTTAGAGTTCTCTGTGAGGTCAAAGTCTTACTCTAAGAAAAATGGCCTCAGTTCAGTAGAGGGAGAATATCAGGTTGGAGGGTCAGGTCCCAGGACTGGCCAGGATCATGGTGGGGTCCCTGAGTGAAGAAATAACTATCACTAGACCCACAAATGAGGAGACTTTACTGACCCCTGCCTCTATTCCTAACCCCAGAGGCTCCAGGCAGAGTTATAAGGATGAGAAGCCTCTTCATTTCTGTCTGGTCTCAGCAAGGGAAGGGCTTTTCCTATCAGCATCAAACCTCAGTTCTGAGGAGGGGGGCATCTTGGCCATCACCACAGTAAAGGTGACCACCATCGGTGCTAATGAGAGGGTCTCTCCCACCAAGGAGGAAGGCTCACAGAGTGGCGTACCTCCTGTCAGGGAGAGATGCTCAGAGAAGCGCCCTGACTCCCCACTACGGATTTGGGGAGGCTAAAGCTTTGTTTCGGAGAAGGCAATGGCACTCCACTCCAGTACTCTTGCCTGGAAAATCCCATGGACTGAGGAGCCTGGTAGGCTGCAGTCTGTGGGGTCGCTAAGAGTCGGATACGACTGAACGACTTCACTTTCATGCATTGGGGAAGGAAATGGCAACCCACTCCAGTGTTCTTGCCTGGAGAATCCCAGGGACAGGGGAGCCTGGTGGGCTGCCATCTATGGGGTCGCACAGAGTCAGACACGACTGAAGTGACTTAGCAATAGCAGTAGTAGCAGGGCTTTGTTTGTGGGCAGAAGGACTCAAGTCCATAGAGTAAGGGGACTTGGGCTCTGACAGACGGTGCAGGGAGGACCCTAGGGGATGACCCAGGGACTGCTCAACACTGAACGATGGGGTCCCCACAAAGCCCCGCCCCTGCCATCATCACTCAGAGACCCCACACAGGGTAGCCATTGCCAGAATTGGCTCCCCCCAACTTCCGTGCTGGTGGCAATGAGCTCTGACTGCTGTTCAGGGTGTTCGTTTGAACAAGAGTGGATTCCCAGGACTGATCTGAAGGTAAGATGAGGACTTGAATGTGCAGTCAAGGGACCACTGCCCCCTCCTTTAACAAAACTAACCCACAAAGTTTTGCCTCTGTGGTCGGAAGGGGATGTTTCCTACAACACTGTTAGGCTGAATTATTGGTAAATCTTGATCTGTAAGAGATTCTGTAAGATCGAAGAGATTACTTGATTCTATAATAGAAAGAAACTTAGGACCCAACTCCAGCCATGGGGAGAGGCCCGAGTGCTAATGCAGCACTGGCAGTAAAGATGGCGACACAAAGCAGCACGCACGCGCTCAATTCCCGGACTTCTCCCCCGCTGAACTCTAAGAGGTGAAGCTTTGGAGGCTTGTGGACACAGTTCAGGTAAGGGAGGAGTGTCAGACTCTAATAGACATGAAGATGGGGACTCCGAATGAGGACCATAGGACACCCTCCCACGGGTTTCCTCCACCATCCCCCACCCTGCATGCCCCCGTGCCCCCATGCCCCTGTGAGCTATCTGACACCCTGAGCATCATGGCCAGAAATGAGTCATCATGACTTCCGTTTTACAGCTTCCCGGAAGTAAAGACTTCAGTCCGGCGGTCAGACCTCTGGCCGGCGGAGGGTGGATTCCCAGCGGTGGCCCAGATTTGAGGTGAAGACTGAGTTGGGACTGAGGCAGGGGGCCACTTAGCCCATAACAAAGAGGGCCGCACCAAGTCTCACTGCTGTTGTAAGCCCTGGGAAGCCCCGGCAGAGCCATCAAACTGAATTTGGCCCAGGAAGTCTCAGGGATGGGAGGGCCATGGTCAGTAGTAGCCCCTGCTTGCAGAGATGGAGGATACCTCTGTCCTAACTGCAGTAAAGTGAGCGCCCTAAGTACTGATTGGGGTCCCCTCCCCACTTAGGGGTGGTATCACAAAGCAGAGTGCCTACGTATCTGGGAGGCTCCAGTGAAGGGTAGTCAAGTAGTAGTACCCTGACTTTGCCCCTCCAGGGACTCGGGGAATTGAGGACTTCGCTCTGAGGCTGAACTACCCAGGTTATTGGTGGGAGGAGTCCTGAGTTCTACCCAGACCGGAACAAGGTCTAAGGCAAACACCAACTCTAAATGTAAGTTGTTATAAATTTTGGCTCTTTTCCAAGTGGAAACTTAAGAGTATCTGTGAAGCTGAGTGAGTCTTCTCACTTCTGTCTGGAGAGTTCAGAGATGTGAGGATGTTAGAATACGTGAATGGCCTCAATTCTGCCAAGGTAGGAGGCCCAGGGCTTCAGAGGAGTCAGCGTGAGGACCCTGAAAGAACTGACGATTGCACTCACCCTGCAACAGGGAAAACAATAGAGAGCACCACCTCCCACCCCTCACCCCCTTCCTGGCTCACAGCACTGAAAAGCCCAGGGATGGAAGTCAGGTGTATGTGAACCCTCCTTTCTTTCTGATGGTATGGGATTGGAGAGAGCCTTTGTCTGAGAGGAGGTACACCAGTGCAGCAGACACAGGTGTCCCAGGCTCTACCTAGAGCCAAGGCAAGGCCGTGAAAGACAGAACCCTAGTGAACCCAGAACAGAGTTCCCTAGAGCTGACTGCTATGGGTGCCCCCTGCCAGGGACACTGGGCTGAGGTACCTCTTCACTTTTTCAGGTATCACAGGAAGATGAGGACCAGGCTTTGGGGTATAACCTTAGAACTACAAAGAGGATAGGACCCAGGCCATGCCAAAAGTTGATATGATTGTCCTGAATGTGAACCAAGAGGACCCCCACCCTCAAGAATGGAGGGGGGCGTCCACAAGGACTGGACTGGCCCATTGCTCCTCAGCCTCAGGAAGCAGGCAGCAGGGCTAGCAGGCTGCAGCCTGAGTCTCACCTTAATTATTTCCACAGAATTCTCAGGGGACAGGGTGATCACTCACAGTCCTCTGAGTTTGTAGAGCAGTGCCCACATGGAAACCTTCAGAGTGGGCCTTCTTAAAGGCAGAGTGTGCCTCCCTGCCACAGGTGCTTCATCCTCTCTTCCTCTCTCCTCTCTGCCCAGATCACGTGCTGTTCTACCTGCGCTCCTGCCTGTTGTCCCTGACCACAGTCACCATGCCTCGGCGTAAGAAGGGTAAGCGCCGCACCTCTGCAAAACGCCGCCAGGCTCAGCATGGCACCCAGGATCTGAGGGGCGCTCAGGTCACTGCCACCACGATGGAAGCACACACTTCTTCCTCCAGCCCTGGTCCCGGGGTTGATGCTAAGGGAAAGCCGGGTGCTAGGTCTGGTAAGCGTCTCAAGCGTCCTCGGGGGGCGCTGGCTGCCACCACTGTGCCTGCAGGTGTTTCTCCCACAAGATCATCCAAAAGAGCCACTGGGGAAATTGGGAAAACACATAATCCCTCTCAAGCCACTGAGGAAATTAGGAAAACAGATAATCCCTCTCAAGTCACTGAGGAAATTGGGAAAACAGATAATCCCTCTCAGGCCCCTCTCTCCAACGTGCGGTCTGGAAAACGCTCACTAACCAGGCCGACGTATCAGTTGGTGCAATTCCTGTTACGCATGTATAAGACGAAAAAGCCCATTAGGAAAGTGCATATGCTGAAGGTCATTGATAAAAAGTACCAAAATCGATTCCTCAGGATCCTCAAAAGAGCTTCTGAGAGCATGGAGGTGTTATTTGGTATTGACGTGAAGAAAGACAACACTGCCAAGCATTCTTATGTCCTTGTCAGCAAGATGAATCTCCCCCGCAACGGGATCGTGCACCGTGGCAGGGGTTTTCCCAAGACCGGTCTCCTGATGAATCTCCTGGGTGTGATCTTCATGAAGGGCAACTGCACCACAGAGGAAGACATCTGGGATTTTCTGGGTAAGATGAAAATCTATGCTGGGAAGAGGCACTTCTTATTTGGGGAGCCCAAGAAGCTCATCACCCAAGATTTGGTGCAGCTGAAGTATTTGGAATATCGGCAAGTGCCCGGCAGCAGTCCAGCATGCTATGAGCTCCTGTGGGGTCCAAGAGCGCATGCTGAAACGAGCAAGATGAGAGTCCTGGAGTTCCTGGCCAGGATTAACCATTTGGAACCCAGTGCCTTCCACTTTTGGTATGACGAGGCTTTGAAAGATGAGGAAGAGAGGGCCCAAGCTAGCGGATGACCCAGCGTTCCTCCAGCAGTTCCTTCCACACCTAGTGAAGCTGAGGCAAATTCTGCCCTTTGTGGCTGAAGAGAGTATTCACAGTGCTCCAAGTACTATAGGACTGGACGTCACCGAGGGTTCACAGTGTAAAATAGCCCAGTGTTCCTGTTCTGTTTCGGAAATTGAGAGATAAACCTGTGTTTTTATGTTCTTGCTGCTTTTAATGAAATGAAAGCTTATCTAGCTTATAATCTAAGTGTATGAATGACATCAGTCATACTTACTGTTATTTATTGGTCTTAAGGATAAGATTTTTTCTCTTGTATAAAACAAATGGGGAAGCTTCCATCTTATTTAGTAAGCCAGTTCAAGACAAAATGGCATTGCAATATGTTATTTCCTTGAAAATAAGAAAAAGTTAAGCAGTAAAATATGTGGGATCAAGAAGCATAGGAAAAGTAAGATGGCCAGTATTTGGATTCCTCATCCCTTGTACTCTGTGTTTTACAAAATTATAAACAACAGTGTATGCTTGGTTAATTCAAAAATGTAGAATTAAATTCTAATAATTTGAACCTCATGTTCACAGGCTCATTTATTCCCCAAACATTAATTGAGTGTCTGCTCTTACAAGGCTCTATGCTTGTACTTGGAGAGCTGAGAAAAAGATCTAGCCACTGGCTATAAAATTATAGAGTTGAAAAGCAGTTATTTATAAGGAAAATGGTGACATGACAGCAGTCAAATGTAAATTCCCTGATTTTGGGGGGCTCCAAAATCACTGCAGATGGTGACTGCAGCATGAAATTAAAAGACGATTGCTGCTTGGAAGGAAAACTATGATTAACCTAGACAGCATATTAAAAATCAGAGACATTACTTTGCCAACAAGTTCCATCTAGTCAAAGCTATAGTTTTTCCAGTAGTCATGTATGGATTTGAGATTTGGAGTATAAAGAAAGCTGAGAGCCGAAGAATTGATGCTTTTGAGCTGTGGTGTTGGAGAAGACTCTTGAAAGTCCCTTGGACTGCAAGGAGATCCAACCAGTCCATCCTCAAGGAAATTAGTCCTGAATATTCATTGGAAGGACTGAAGCTGAAACTCCAATACTTTGGCCACCTGATGTGAAGAACTGACTCATTGGAAAAGATGCTGATGCTGGGAGAAGTTGAAGGCAGGAGGAGAAGGGGATGACAGAGGATGAGATGGTTGGATGGCATCACTGACTCAATGGGCGTGAATTTGAGTAAGCTCTGGGAGTTGGTGATGGACAGGGAAGTCTGGCGTGCTGCAGTCCATGGGGTCGTAAAGAGTTGGACACGACTGAGTGACAGAACTGACTGACTAAAGGTAGTGGTGGGCCTTGGGAAAATATAAGTCTTTATGTGGGAAGTAACTATAAGTTGAGTGTGTTGTGGGTTTGATGAGGCTGTGGTTAATCATGACCAGGGACCAAGTTCTCACATGGTGGGCCCCATAGTTTAAAGACAAAGCCTGGGATGGGAAACTGCCCTTTACAGTTACAGGCATACTTCACTCTGTTGCATTTTGCTTTATTATATTTCACAGGAACTGATTTTCTTTTCTTTGTTCTTTTTCTTTACCAAATTGAAGGTTTGTGTCAACCTTGCGTCCAGCAAGTCTTTTGGCACCATGTTTCCAACACCGTTTGGTCACTTCATGTCTGCGTGTCACATTTTGATAACTCTTGCAATGTTCACACCCTCAGCAACAAAAAGATAGACTCACTGAAGGCTCAGATAATGGTTAACAATTTTTTTTTAGCAAACAGGTGTTTTTATTTAAGATATCTATATTTTCCTTAGGCATAATGTTATTGCCCATAATGCCTACAGTATAGTGTAAACATAAATTTTATGAAAGCACTGGGAAACCAAAAATTTCTTGTGACTCAATTGTGATATTGACTGTCCTTCAGGGGTTGGGAACCAAACTTGCAGTATTTTCTGGGTCTGCCTGTGCTTTGGGATTGTGAGTAAATCAGACAGAAATCGCGTGAAGCTGGCATGGAATGTATCCTGTAGCTCTTGTTCCAATGCAGGTAAGCAATGTGCAGATTAGATGTTTTATTCACATTGCCTTCTATCCACAGAGTTTCTCAGAAATCAGGGTGACACTCCCCTGAGGTGGGATGATGCCCAGAAGCTGCTAGAATGGCACACTTTGCCCTCGCTGGGCATAACTGTCAGCTTTTAGCCTGTGAATATTTTTTAAGTCTGCAGTTTCTTCTCATTCACCCTCCCATAGCCCCTGACAACCACCACTCTACTCTCTGCTTCTTTGACTTAGACCATTTTATTTTTATTTTTTTGACTTAGACCATTTTAGATTCCTCATGTAAAGGATATGCAGTATTTGTCCTTCTGTCTGGCTTATTTCACTGTAGCATGATGTCCGCCAGATTTATCCACGCTGTCATGACTGGAGAAGTTAGCTTCTTTTTAAGACTGAATGATATTCCATTGTATGTATATTTTACTTATTTATCCATTCATCTGTCACTGGACAGGTAGGCAACTTCCCTGTCATGACTATTGTGAGCAGTGCTGCAATGAACATGGGAGTGCAGAGCTCTCTTCGAGGTTCTGATTTCAATTCCTTTGGATAGTAGTGGCATTGCGGAAAGTGTTACGTGTTACTTTTTATTTTTTGAGGAACCCATATACTGTTTTCCATACTGGCTGTACCAATTTACATCCCTACCAGCAGTGCTGAATGTGTATAGTTTACTAAGAAACTTGCAAACTGTCTTCCAAAGTGGCTCTCCCATTTTGCATCACCACCACCAATGAATAAGAGTTCTTGTTAATTCACGTCCTTACTAGCATTTGGTGTTTTCAGTCCTTTGGATGTTGGTCATTCTGAGAGGCATGTCATGGTATCTGCTTGTTTTTTAATTTGCAGTTCCCTAATGGTATATGATGTGGAGCATCTTTCCATATGCTTGTCTGACATCTGTGTTTCTTCCTTGGTGAGGTATCTATTCATATCTTTTGTCCATTTCTTATTAGATGTTAGTTTTCTTCTTATGAATTTTAAGAACTCTTTGTATATTTTAGATTAGAGCTTTCATCAGATATGTCTTTTGCAAATATTTTCTCCCAGACTATGGCTCATCTTGTTCTCTTGATGGTGTATTTTTACAGAGCAGAAGTTTAAAGGGAATGGAATCTAGCTTATCAATTATTTCTTTCATGAATCCCCATCACTTTTTTCTTTGATGATCTTTTATTGATTGATTGATTTTCTATGCAGCACATGGGATCTTAATTGAACTGACACCCCTTGCACTGGAAGCACAGTTTTTTGTTCGTTTGTTTGTTTTATTTTGTGTTGAGGAATAGCAAATTAACAATATTGTGACAGTTTCAGGTGAACGGTGAAGGGACTCAGTCATACATATACACATATCCACTCTCCCCCAAACTTCCCTCCCATCAATACTGCCACATAACACATAACCAAAATAATTAATAGTGATAAATAAAGGATACAAATAGATAATGCTTAGTAACCATGTGATCATCTGCATGTGCAAAATCAGATACCCTCAAGTGATCAAGGGCTTACAAGATTATCTGGTGCTATCCTTCTATGTAGAAAGTAAATATTTTATTATTTGTACTAAAAATATATTTTTCAATTTATTTTTTGGCTGTGCTGGGTCTTAGTTGTGACACTCAGGATCTTTGTTGCCATGTCTGCAGGCTCTTTAGTTGTGGCATGTGAGATTTTTAGTTGTGGCACATAAACTCTTAGTTGTGACATGTGGGATCCAGTTACCTGACCAGGGATTGAACCCAGGCCCCCTGCATTGGGAGCACAGAGTCTTAACCACTGGATCAACAACAGGAGGGTACTGAAAGTAAAGATTTTAAAACTACCCTAAATCTGGTAGCTCAGATGGTAAAGAATCTGCCTGCAATGCGGAAGACCTGGATTCAATCACTGGGTTGGGAAGATCCCCTGGAGGAGGGCAACCCACTCCAGTATTCTTGCCTGGAGAATCCCCATGGACACAGGAACCTGGCAGGCTATAGTCCATAGGGTCGCAAAGTGTCACATATGACTGAGCAACTAAGCAGATACCCTAAATCTGGCTGAAGAGAAGGAATATATCAGCTCTTTTTCTCTGACAGCATAACATCTTTCCTGAGTTCCTTGATTTCTGCTGCGTTTTCCTAATCTTAGATCACTTTTGGGACCAAGACCTGTTTTCTCCAACATATGCTAGAGGTTAACTGTTCAGTATCTGTAGGAATATGCATTTCCCAGGAAGCCTTTAATCAAGTGACAGAGGCTGATATGGGAACCTCCATGAAGGAGGACTGAGGAGACAATCACCACTGAATATAATGGTCATCCAAAGACTAAGAAGAGGAATCTTAGATCAGTAGAATGTGGAGACCCAGGTTGTGGTAGATGTAGTGAGGATGCTGAGCAAAAGGAATCCAAAAGGACTAGAGTTGCATCCCCACTGTCTGTTCTCAGAGGCCCCAGTGAACTATGATCATATGAGGATCACCCTGACTTCCCACTTGGAATTCTCAGGAGACTAGGACCTTGATGTAAGACAAGAAGCTTCATAAAGCAGAGTATGGAGTTACAGGATTTATCATGTATCAATATGAGGACCTGAAAGTGGATTCATGGTAGCACACACTATAAAAGGAGGCCCTGGAAAATATCTGATGCTGTGGTCCCCAGGAAGCGCTGGGCACAGATGTCAGGTTGATTTCAGTCTGGAAAGTCTCAGCAAGATGAGGCCTTTGTCTAATAGGATCAGCCTCAGTTTCGCAGAGGGACAGACCTGAACCCAAGGAGGACCTCACATGCGATGTTGAGTGTTAGAGGGGACCCCTGGAGAGGGAACCAAACAGAATTCTGTAAATTCTTAGCCCTGAGAGACCCAGAAGAGCTACTTATGAGTGGTCCCTTCATTCAACCTGTGTGATCTTAGGGAGGGCAGGGCCTCCTCTAGCAGAATCGGAACCCAGATCTGCAGAGGGGGGCATCTTGACCATAACCGGACTTAAGGTGAGGACCGTCAGTGCTAGTGAGAGGGTCTCTCCCCCTACGAAGGAGGCTCACAGAGTGGCGCCCCTCCTGACAAGCAGAGATGCTCAGAGCAGTGCCCTGATTCCCTCCACTACGGACTTGGGAAGGCGAGGGCTTTAGGAGCTGGAGGATTCGGGTTCATAGAAGGAGGCACCCTGGCTCTGATACATGGCACAAGGAGGACCCAGGGACTGATGAATATTGAGCTACCGGGTTCCCGTAGCATGTTGCCCCTGCCCCCGCCCCCCTGACCCTCTGCCCTTGCCCCTCCCCTGGGAGGCCGCACGTATGAACGTATGCAGCGCCCCTCCTTTTCCGCTTCCGCTTCCGCGGCGAGGAGCACAGTTGGTAGCTGCAGCGTCTGTTCAACGGAGGTCGAGTGTACCGGACTTGTACAGAGCCAAGGTGAGGTTCTGAATGTAGCTGAAGTGAATTTCCCAACCCCTCCCTGTAAGAAGTAACCCAACCGCATCCCACCCCTGCAATCTGTAGTGTAACATGCCCTGTCCTGAGTTGCAGGCCCAGGAGCCATCTTGTATTTGCCACGTGGAGGGTCGGTGGCGGGTCGGGCGGCTTTGTTTAAAGAGGATGGACTCTATGCGTTGGGAGTGGTCTTGTCCTCAACAGGTGAAAAGATGGGGCTTTCAGCGCTCACAGGGTGGTGGCTCACCAAAGTGGTGGCTGCACAGAAGCCCGTCCTGCCACCAATGCTGCGGTGCCCTGGAGTAGCGGCCCCCAATCTTTTCGGCACTGGGGGGCCCGTTTCTTGGAAGACAATTTTTGCATGGGGTGGGGTGCGTTGTGCGGTGGGGCATGATGCAGTGGACAAAGGAGGGTGGGGTGGCGTGAGGGGTGGGTGGGGTAGGCCAGGGGATTGTTTCAGGATGTTTCAAGTGCGTTACATTGTTACTTAAGGCAATTTTTGCATGGGGTGGGGTACATTGTGCGGTGGGGCATGATGCAGTGGACAAAGGAGGGTGGGGTGGCGTGAGGGGTGGGTGGGGTAGGCCAGGGGATTGTTTCAGGGTGTTTCAAGTGCGTTACATTGTTACTTTATTTCTGTTGTTATTACACCCCGTCCAGCTCAGATCATTAGGCTTTAGAATGGGAAGGTTTGGACCCCTACCATACTGGTTCAAAGTATCATAGAGTAATTGAGGCTGAGGACGTCATTTTTGCGTGGTGTGCGGGGGGTGGCGGACGTTAGGGATAAGGGACGTTCAAGTAGAGAAAGGCCTTTATATAAAAGGATATGGACCTAGAGGGTATTATGTATGCTAAGTGGAATGAGTCAGAAAAAGAATTACTATATGATTTCACTTCTACGAGGAATCTGAAAAACAGAAACAGTTGTAAACGTAAGAGAAAACAGGTGGTTGATGGAGGTTAGGGTTGGGGGTGTGGGGGAGAAGAGAAATAGGTGAGGAAGGTTAAAATGTAGACACTACCAGTTACATAATAAAAGCAATGGGTGTGATAGGTACATAAATAAAGATATAGAGTGATAGATAAGGTAACCCCATTAGGCATAGAGAGGAGTCTCAGTCTTAGAAGAAGTCAAACTAGGACTGTCAGTGCTAGTCAGCAGGCCCGGCATGCACGTGGATTGCTGCACTGAGGAACAGCCCCGCTCTCAGATCTGGGCATCCAAAACAAGGTAGCTGGGTGTGGAGCCCCCAGCATCTCCTCTAGCCCTCAGGGAGGTGAGAGCTTTGCTCTGGGCAATGTAGACTCAGGTCAGCAGACGGAGGGCTCCCAAACCCTACCCAAACTGGAGGCCAGAATCTGGAGTGAGGACAGAGGGAGCCCCTGACTCCAGAACTGGGCGGGGGGGGNCCAGAACTGCGGGGGGTTGAGAGACCCACCCTTGTGGTTAGCAGCACAGCCCCAAATCAACTTTGGCAGGATGTGGCTCACTCTGTCAGCTTGGGTCCAGGAAACGTGAGGACGTTTTCACAGGGTCTTGGGCTCAGGTCGGCAGAAGGCAGAGTCCCAGGAAGGAGGTGGAGTCGAGGGAAAGATCCATACATGGTAGAGAGAACCACATCTGATGCCACCTCTGGGGTCAGCCCTGGGAATCCCAGGCAGAGCTGGCCAGCTCTGGTGCCCCTGACTTCTGCCTGTGGGGTCTGAGGGAGATGAGAGCCTTGGTTTCAGGTCCGGCTGCCCAGGTCAGCAGAAAACGAGGAGTCCTGGGCCATGACAGATGTTGAGGCACCAATTCTATGTGAGGAAGGAGACAACTGACTCCCGCAGAACAGCAGAGCCCACGCAGAGTGCCACCTCTTTCGTCGCCCTGGGAAGCCGGGTTAGAGCTCTCAGGCTGAGGTGCCCTCTCATTTCCTCCAAGGATGGTCTCAGGGACATCAGGGTTTGGGTCTGATAGGTGAGGCCTCATTCAACATAGGGAGGAAGCCCCATTCCTAAAAGGAGTCACAGTAGAACACTGAATGAACATGCGAGAACCCCACCCAGAAGGAAGTGAACCACATAGTCGCATCACTCCTCTCAGACCTGGGAGACCCAGGCGTGGGGACCAGATGACCCACATTTGCTTCTTCCCAGAGCCTCACAAGGAGGTGAGGAACCTCACTGATGGGGATTTGGGTTCAGGTCCACCGCTGGAACATTTGCAGCTAGTAGCAGGAGCACAGGAGAGGACCTAAGAATTGAGGGGACCACCCACCTACCCCACGACAACAGAGGGCAGTGCAGAATCTCTTCCTGACTGTCCACATCAGGAGTCCACACACAGCTATAGCTAGAGAGATCAGAAAAATGTCGCTGCTTTCTAGTGGATCTCAGGGAGATGTGGGCCTTAGTGGGAGGGGAGAGACCTCAAGTTGAGACAGAGATTTCCTGGTCCTGCCAGGAGTCACAGAGTCATGGTAAGGACCCAGAGAGGTGTCTTAGATGAGCACCTACCCAAAGCAGTGGGGGCCCACAAAGTCCCAGCCCCTGTCAGTCCTGAGACACCCCAAGCAGAGGTCACCAGATGTCACCCCTCACTTCCAGCCCCAGGAACTCAGGGAGATGTGGGCCTTGATCTGAGGCTGGAAGACTCAGGCTGGACTAAGAGAGGAGCATAAGTCCCATCCAAGTGAGGACAAAAGGGGCCAGTGATGACAGAACAGTAAGAGTCCCACAGAGTCCAGCCCCTGCTGCCATCCCAGGGAGGTCAGGGACAGGGGTGACTGGCGGTGGCTCAAAATTTCTTTCACCTTGGGAACCTCAGCATGCTCAGGTCAGCAGAGGGAGAATTTCTAGCATTTACCAGGACTCATGGAGAAGATGCTGAGGACTGTGGGAAACTCCCAGAATTCCTCTCACTGTCACTCCTTGGCACCCCCAGGCATACATGGTGGGCAGCAGTGTGTCTCACTCACAGCTAACAGGAAAGTGAGCACCTTAGTCTAATGGGTCAGCAGAGGAAGGAATCTTAGACTCTCCCCTAAGTAAAATCTGGGGACCTTACATGAGGACCACACATTACAGGGCCTCAACCCCCAGCTACACCTTTTCAGGCCCCAGAGACCGTGGGCGGTAGGGCCAGGTAAGGCCACCCTGGCTTCCCCCATTCGATCTTAGGGAGCTGTTGGCCTTGCTGTGAGGAAAGGTCCTCAAGTCAGGAGAGAAAGGAGCCCCCAGATCCTCCCAGGAGTCAAAGTGGGGACTGTGAATGAAGACTGAAGGTAGCACGCTCCCCCTTCCAGCTAATCAAACGAACACTAAAGAGTCTTGCCTGATCCTCCACTGAGGCCCCTCATTTCTTTGTGTCATTTCTAAGGGAAATGAGGTTCTTCACCTGAAGGGGCGGCACCAGAGGCAGGAGGGAGGGGACCACACCCTCAGTGTTGACAGGATGAGGACCCTGAATGGAGAAGCAATGAGTTCAGGACAGAGCAGGCCCCCAGAACTGCCAGTGCCATCTTCCCCGACAGCGTCCATGACTTGGTTCCTTCTCTTAGGTCCCAGGGAGCTTTGAGGCATCACCGTTCAAGTGGCATATGGCAGGGGTCCCGGCTCTACTAAGAGCTGATGTGACAGTTGTGTGTGTAAACGAAGGGGCCCAGAGAGGGCCCCACTCCCAGGATCTGCTGTCACTGCAGGCAGCAACAGGCAGGCTGTAGCCTGAAGCTGGCTCACTCTCACTTCTTACACCAGGTTCTCAGGGGATAGGCTGACCAAGAACAAGAGGCCAGTGGTTCCTGGAGCAGGGCTCTCAAGGAAACGGGCAGATCAGTCTTCTTCCCTCCCTGCTGAAGGAGCTCATCCACTCATCTTCCCTTCTCCAGGTTGCAGCATCACCTACTTGCCTGCCTGGTCCCCTGCCCGCTGTGCCTGCTGATAGTCATGCCTCGGGGACAGAAGAGCAAGCTCCGTGCACGTGAGAAACGCCGCCAAGCACGCATGGAGACCAAGGATCTCGGGGATGCTCAGGCTGCTGCCTCCCCCACCCCTACTTCTGGGAGTACACCCCCGGGCTCCCCCACTGCTGGTGCGGGCCAGAATCCTCAGGGAGCTGCAGCCACTAGCTCTCCTGTTGCAGGGGCTTCATGCCCAAGATCTAAAGCACATGCCAGGCGCCAAGCTAAGCAACGTAGAAATTCTTCCCAGGTCTCAATCTTTTCTAAGCCCGCTCCCCCAGATCCTCTGACCAAGAAGGCAGGGGTGTTGATGCATTTCATGCTAGAGAAGTTTAAGATGCAAGAGCCCATTAAGAAGATAGATATGCTGAAGGTTGTCCACAAAATGTTCAAGGCACACTTCCCCGAGATCCTGAAGAAAGCTGCTGAGCGCATCGAGCTGATATTTGGCCTTGAATTGAAGGAAGTCAAGCCGAATGGTCACTCCTATACCCTGGTCTGCAAGGAGGACCTTGCCAAAGATGGGGTGCTGGGCAGTACCTTGGAGGTGCCGAAGAATGGGCTTCTGATGCCTCTGCTGAGTGTGATCTTCCTGAATGGCAATTCCGCCTCTGAGGCAGAGGTCTGGGAGTTCCTGAATATTCTTGGCATCTATGATGGGAATGCCCACATAATCTTTGGGGAGCCCAGGAAGTTCATCACTGAAGAGTTGGTGCAGGAGAAGTACCTGATATATCGTCAGATTCCTGACAGCGATCCCCCGAGCTGTGAGTTTGTGTGGGGCCCAAGAGCCCACGCCGAAACAACCAAGATGAAGGTGCTGGAGTTTGTGGCCAAGATCAATAATACCGTCCCCAGTGCTTTCCCATTCCATTATGAAGAGGCTTTGAGAGATGAGGAAGAGAGAGCCAAAGCCAGATCTGCAGCCAGGGCTCGTGGTGCTGCTAAGGCCATTGCCCACTCCAAGGCCCCACCCAGCAATCCGTCCAGCCCCCAGTGAGGTCTCAGGCAGCGTCTTCGCTTTGTTTGACCAATACTGCCAACCTTTTTAGTAGTGAGAGGATAAAGTGGGGCTGGAAAGGTCATAATATATTTTTTGTGCTCCTGTTTTACCGTTACCTTTCAAATGTTGTTTCTTTTCCTAGAATGTTTGTTTAGATTCAGAATCCAAGTTTACAAATGACACAGATCACACATTTGTTGTCTGTCAGATCTAAGAGTAAGAGTTTTGGCACTGTGTAGTACAATTCAAAAAATCCTTGCATCTTTTGGGGATCCAGAACAAGATAACATAGCTTTGTAATAGGAATTTTCTTAGAAATGTGAAAGAATGCTGTGGTTTTAAAACAGATGAAAACGATGTAAGCTGTAGTCAAGTTTTGATCTTTGTTATTCACCTTTGTCTTTCTAACATTTGGCAGTACCCTTAGTGATACACTTAGCTGTTCTTAGCTTATTCAAGAATGTTGATAAAGTTAATAAGAAACTACGTTCCTTGCTTGGTGGCTCCTTTATTCCCATCTTTACTTGAGCATCTGCTCTTCAGAAGGTTCTGTGCTGGTGGGGGTGATGCGAAGATAAGGGAACCTGTACCTGCCTGTAGATGTCTTGAGTATATGAGCAGTGATTCCATAAGGAAGGTGGTGTGATGATCTCAGACAAGTGACAAAAAGGATGCAGGATGCTGGTGAGGGAGATGGGATGAGAGCAGTGAGGTATAAATTCTCTCAGCCTTTATTCTCTCAAACCAAAACTAAGGTTTGGTATTTTGGCCAGGGTCAATGGTAACATCCCCAGTGCCTTCCTGCCCCATTATGAAGAGGCTCTGAGAGATGACGAGAGATCCCAAGCTGCACTTAGGGTTTGTAGTCCTGCCAAGGCCAGCGTGTGCTCCAAGGTCACGCCTAGCAGTCCCTCCAGCCCCTAGTGAGGTCTGAGGCAACTTCTTCACTCTGCGTTCGACCAACACTCCCAACCTTTTTAAGTTGTGAGAGGCTAAGGTGGGGCTGGAAAGCTAATCATAATATACATCTTTGCGTTCCTGTTCCTTCTTGGGAGGTCATTTTAAGTTGGCTGCATTCGGCGGAGGGGCGAGTGAGGGGGAAGGTGGTGGTGGTGGTGGTGGCCGGGAAGCGACCCCAGGGCCGGGAGAAGCGGAGGTCCCACGGGCGCGGCCCTTTGGGGGACGGCTACGACCGGCGCACCCCTCGCCCGCCCCGCAGCCGGCCCGGCTCCCCCGCACCTTCCTGATCCCGCCGCTGCCCTCCACGCCTCCTCCTCTCCCCCACCGCCACCCCCTCTCCTTTCTCTCGGCTCTTCCTCTCCCTCGTCGTCGTCCTCCTCCCCTCTAGCCGCTGGGATCCGCGGGTCGGACGAGCCGCCGCCTCCTTCTCTGCGTCCATGTATGAGGGGAAGAAGACGAAGAACATGTTCCTGACCCGGGCCCTGGAGAAGATTTTGGCCGACAAGGAAGTGAAGAAGGCGCATCACTCCCAGCTGCGCAAAGCGTTCGAGGTGGCGTTAGTGTCGAGAAAGGATTTGCAGAGGTGCAGCCTGTGCTGACATCTCTCCGCCTCCGCCACGGGAAAAACAGAGAGTAATGTTGTATCCGACTGGGCTGACCTGGAAGAACAAGACCTGAGGTTAAGGGGTGGGGGTGGCGAGATAAAAGCGGGGAAGGAAAGGACCTTTAGATAAGCTGGCTTTAGTGACAAGGGAGGGAGGCTTTGAACCGGGGGAAATGAACAAGACAATGACACCCACCAGCCACATGTCTGGACCGTGACAGCTGCTCGCAAGCTTGAATTGTGATTTACAGTTCAGACGAGAGAGATCTAGTGTCTGAAGTCCAAAGCAGGGTAAATGCAAACAATACCTACAAGCGAGGACTGGCAGATGAGGAATTGTTAAGGGGGACCACTGATGGATCTTTTGCATTCATCAGGAATGAAATCCTTTAAGGAAGGACCAGGACATTAAACGCAAAGATGAATTCCTAATGCTTGGCTTTAGTTTAAAGCGCTGGAAACAGACTAGATTAAGGTGATGAGAAAAGGAAGCATGTTAAGTGGGCTTGGAAAAAAGCATTCATAAAAGGGGCAAAAATCCAGAATAACTCGGGTGTATGCTAAAGGGTCAAGATAGCTCAAAAGCAGCTTTGCCTTTTAATTATTAAAATAAAAAGACTTTTTAACTTACTGTAAGTTGGCTGCGTGGTGGGCTGGATGAGCCTGTGATAATGGTGAGCTGGGACCAAATCCCCAGATGGTGGACCTCAGAGTTGGGAGGCTGAGACTGAAATGAGAAGCTGCCTTGAACAGTTACTCTGAGATTGTGAGTCAATTGGGGAAGGAACGGAAGGTGTCCAGCGCTCCTTCCCCAGTGCAGGTGAACACAGTCCGTAGACCAGCTGTTTGATGCATATTATTGTCTCCTTTCTGATGGGATGTTGAGAAGTCACTGTGCTGGCACTCTGGGCCCTGAACAGAAGGAGCCCCAGCACACTCCAAACATGAGGGTATCTCAAGTGTAATCTAGTAGACCTCCTGAGAGGGGCTAGATTTTAGTGGTGGTGAAATACATGAAAATCGGGGTGTTTTGTTGGGAGGGCTTTGGGAGGCAGGGGAATACTGGTCCTTGACACAAATTCTATAATGTTTTGAGCTGCATCCTGGTAAAATGCTTGCCTCTAAATTCAATAACACATTACCTGATAGAGAAAATTTACTTAGGGTTACTTGTTTAGTTGCTAAGTTATGTCTTGACTCTTTGTTGCCCCATGATCTATAGTCCACAAGGCTCCTGTGTCCATGGAACTTTCCTGGTGAGAATCCTAGAGTGGGTTGCCATTTCCTTCTCCAGGGGATCTTCACAACCCAGGGATTGAACTCGCGTCTCCTGCTTGGCATCCGGATTCTTTACTACTGAGCCACCTGGGGAAGCCCAATGATTACTTGCTAAGCAGCAGTTTGATTGACTCAGCTTTCTTTGTTTAGAAGACTACATAGTCTCTAGCTTCTGCTGGATAAAGAAAAATTTCCATAGATAAGGGTGGTTTATTACGCAATGAAAATAATCATCATCATAACTACCAGGCATGAAAGACCTAAACATTGCCAGCTGCAGTGCCACGTGCTTTATATGTTACATACATTTGGATACTTCTGTAAGACAAAGCTTATCAAACTTAGTAGGACACAAAGAACTTGCAGTGTTCTCCAGGCTGATAAAAGTGACAGAACTGAGTGTAGAGCCTGGTCTGAATTGCTCTAGAGTCCATAGTATTTCAGTCCTCCCAGTCTGAGGCTGACCTTGTGTCTGTTCATTTCTCTTCACACTACTCCATGGTATCTCTCAGGCGATAGGCAAGAGGAACTTGTAGCCACAGTACTAAAAGCAGCCTGAAGGTGAAAATGAGAATGAAACTCAATTTAGGGGGTGTCTGGGGGCTTGTTTCCCTGGAATTCTCCCACCCCTGGCGCCAGAGTTCCTGGAGAGCTGACCGCCCGGGTCCCAGCACGGGTGTGCGGTCCCGCCCGTTCCCGGTGACAGCGCCCTTCGCTGGGTCTTGCCCGGCGAGCCCTGTGCCCTCGTCTCCACAGACTGGAACCTGACCTGCCAGCCAGCTGTTCTCTGCATCCTCCTCTGGACGCTGCGCTCTGCTCGCAGAGGAACGGCCCACTCAGATGCCCCGCGCTGCCTGACTCGGAGCATCCCGACTCTGCAGGTTCCTCACCCGGGACCCCGGGGCCGCAGCTGCCCTTTCCCCGTGAGGGGTCACTTCCGGCAGGGAGGTTCAGACACCTCCTCATCCCCACTGGCTGCCCCCACCACGTTCTCGGTGTTTTCCAATCTGCTGGTGACCAGGGTCTGATTTGGCACAGAAACTATTGTTCGTTGGGCTTCCCCGGTGGCTCAGCTGAAAGTGCACCTGTTCCTACATCACTAGTTTTTTTAGACCTCGGTGGTTCAGATAGTAAAGAATCCACCTGCAATGCAGGAGACCCTTGTTCAATCCCTGGGTTGGGAAGATTCACTGGAGAAGGGAATGGCAACCCACTGAAGTATTCTTCCCTGGAGAATTCCATGGACAGAGGAGCCTGGGGTGATCCAGTCCATGGAGTTGCAAAGAGTCAGACACAAGTGAGCGACTAACACTAACATTTACTAGTGGTGTGATCCTGGGTAACCTCCTTAACCCCTTTGTGCCTCTTTTCTTACCTGTAAAATTTCCATGGATAATACCTCACTATAATATATTTTGAGAATTGTATGTAAGGTATTCAGTATAGTGCCTGTGAATTCATAAACATTTTATGTATGTGTTAACTATTATTTTATTATCAAAGCATTCTGTTGAGATTTCATTTTGCATGTTGAAGAATTAATTGACATTTAATACAGCAAGAATGTGGGCCCTATAGATAACACTTAAAAACTAAAATGTAGAAATAATAACTTTCTGAGAGGGAATATGTCACATTGGTAGTCCCTAAAGCACTATAGGATGATTAATATTAAGTCAATAAAAAATGTTAATGTTTAAATATTAGCCATAGTTATCAGAAAAATTTATTAGCCTTAACACTTCATTCCCCATTTGTATAGGATGTGCTCAAATGCTCAGTCGTGTCCAACTCTTTGCAACCCCATGAATTGTAGCCCTCCAGGCTCATCTGTCTATGGGATTCCCCAGGCAAGAATACTGGAGTGGAGTGCCGTTTCCTCCTCCAGGAGATCTGCCTGACTCAGGGATCAAACCCATGCCTCTTATGTCTCCTGCACCGACAGGTGGATTCTTTACCACTAGTACCACCTGAGAAGCACCTTGTATAGGGTAAATGAGGTAATTAAACAGAGAGATTTTATTTTGTTTCATTAGTAAATAACTAAGCTGTGATGGACTGAGGAACTCAGCTTTGACTACATCTTGGACTAAGTGAAATTTAAGGATTGTTTGGTATCGAAAAGTGAAAGTCACTCAGTTGTGTCTGACTCTTTGTGACCCCTTGGACTGTCCATGGAATTATCTAGGCCAGAATACTGGAGTGGGTAGCCTTTCCCTTCTCCAGTGGATCTTCCCAACCCAGGGATTGAACCCAGGTCTCCTGCACTGCAGGTGAATTCTTTACCAGCTGAGCTACAAGGGAAACCCAAGAACACTGGAGTGGGTAGCCTATCCCTTCTCCAGCAGATCTTCCCAACCCAGGAATTGAACTGGGGTCTCCTGCATTGCAGGCAGATTCTTTACCAACTGAGCTATCAGGGAAGCCCTTGGTATCAAAGGATGCCTCTTAATATAATTTTTTTTAATTTAAGAAGAAAAGAGATTGTGATGATCTCTTTCGAGAGTAACATGTGGAAGAAGGACTGGAATACATTGGAAATGCTGCATAATCAAAGCATTGTTTTCATGTATACTTTAT